TGAACCTCTTATGAAACTTCTCTACAGGATAAAATACATAGAAGATTAATACTTTTATATTATAATTAGTTATCATTTAACAGGCTAGCTTATGTTCATTAGTGTTTTTCAGGAAAAATGGAAGGATTTACCAAAAATTCTGCAGAAGCGCTATTCTAATCGTGCTTACAGTGATGATATAGTGACGGTTGATGGTAAGCTTGATGTGTATTGCTCTTGGCTTATACGTCTTCTTAAGCCATTTTTGAAAATATTTAATGTATTAGTACCATATCAGGGTAAAAATATACCTGTAAGCGTGAGCTTTGTGAGTAAGTCGGATTCTGAAATACTATACTTTAATCGCACCTTCTCTTTTCCTGACAAAAAGCCGTATCGTTTTTATTCCCGTATGGTACGTCTGAAAGGAGACGACGTAATAGAATTCATGCGTTTCAATATAGGATGGCGCATGCGTTGTTTTTATGATGGAAAGAAAGTAGTACTGCAGCATAGAGGGTATGTGTGGAAATTTTTTGGGCTCTTAATCCCTCTACCAATTAATCTATTGATAGGAAAGGGTTATGCAGAAGAAGAGGCAATATCAGACAATGAATTTAGAATGTACTTTGAAATAAGACATAGATTATTTGGTAAAGTATACGGTTATGGCGGAAATTTCACTATTAAGGAGCAAGAGATCTGATGGATAAAAAAGTACTGATATTAGGAAGTTGTGGAATGTTTGGCCAAAGAATATGCTTTGCCCTTGCTAAGGCAGGCATTAACATTATCATAGCAGGGCGTAACGACAACAAGGTAAATGAATTGAAAGCCATTATAGCTTCAAAATACCCAAACGCTAAGGTGAAAACTGCTGTATTTGACGCCTACCAAAACTTTAATACTGAACTATTAAAATTAAAACCTGCGGTAGTAATCAATACTTATGGTCCGTTTCAAAATGCTAGCTATTCAATTGCTGAAATTTGTATACAAAAAAGAATTCACTATATAGATCTAGCTGATGACAGAGATTTTGTCAGTGGTATTCATGTTCTAGATGAGCATGCCAAGAGGAATAGTGTATTAGTAGTCAGTGGAGCTAGTACTGTTCCTGGATTATCATCTGCAGTATTAGAGAAATACAAAGATAAATTTTCCCAAATAGAATCGTTAATATTTGGTATTACCCCAGGAGGAAAAACACAGCGTGGTCTTGCTACAACACAGTCTGTACTCTCTTATTTAGGCAAACCGCTGAAACCATACCCTAGTTACATAAAAAAATGTTATGGTTGGCAGAATATTTATTGTCAAAATTATCCAGAAATTGGTAAACGTTGGATGGCTAATTGTGATATACCTGATCTCGAATTATTTCCTGAACGTTATGGTATGAAGCATATTCAGTTCTCCGCTGGTATGGAGAGCAGAATACTGCATTTTTGTATATGGATAATGTCCTGGCTGGTTAGATTAGGGTTGCCAATTCAGCTAAAGAAATACGCAAAGTTTTTTCTGTATATCAGTCACTGGTTTGATTGGATGGGTACACAAGATGGAGGAATGCATATGCTCATCAAAGGCAAAGATAATAAAGATAATATAAAGGAAATACAATGGTTTATTATTGCAAAAGAGGGTGATGGGCCGCAAATTCCATGTGTACCAGCAGTAATACTCGCTAAAAAGCTGCTAGCTGGAGATATTAAAGAATATGGTGCTATGGCTTGTATGGGACTAATTACATTGGAAGAATATATGCAGGAGTTGGATGGATTTGCAATAGAACAACATTGTACAG